TGCTTCACCTCTTCACCAAGTGTAACCTCACGAACATATTCACCGACCGAGTGGGTCGAGGTCATGTTTCCAACAACCACACCCTACGAGAGGCACTTACTACCTTAACACCATGTCACCGTCTTCTAGGTAGTGGAAGCGGCTACCGAGGACTACTCGGAAGTGCAGGACCTGCTCAAGCGATTCGCTACCCTCAAGGACGCCAACAAGAGCCTCAACGAAGCTCAGGCGAGGGACGAGGGTGAGACAGAGAGGCTGCGGTCGGAGTTCGGCAACTACACCAAAGAGAGGTGAAATTCAAGATCCGCCTGTACACCATGCGCGTTGGCTGTTGCACGAATTGATGTGTTTCTTGGGCAGAGATTTTAGTAGCAGCGAGAGGACGCACGAGACCATGACAAAGCTGCCGCAAGCGCGAGTGATCAACCAGCGTGTACGAAGCCGCTGCATTTATCGCTACGACGTTGGCGAGCCTTGGAGGGCTCAGTCCCCAACCTCCTAAAGATCCGTTTATCGCTACCGCACAAACTGTGTATCATTGCAGGACGAATGAAATCTTGAACGAGAGCAACGAGATAGCCGGGATGCAGAAGCTGCTAGAGATGACGGGGCGAGAGGTGCTGCTCCTACAGAATGAGCTCGATAACAAGATCAGCAACATGTCCGACAGAACGCTGGAGATGGGGCAGGTGTGGTTTGTGGCTTGTGCGCCGTCGCCGATGCAGGTTTAAGTGTTTCTTCATTGACGAGTCAGATTTTTCGGAAAATGGGAGAACACATTGGGATATTCCGAACTTCAAAATTCGCAAACGTTTCAACATCGGCGAACTCCCCGCACAACTACTGCACTTACGTATGTCTAAACAATGCAATTGAGGACAACCTTCGTCATGTAGGTCGAAATATATGCCACCGAGGGGTAGTTGTTGTCCGCCAAACAGCACCTTCATCAACTGCCTTCGAAGACGATACTTGCGTCACTCTTGGTTGAGCAATGCGTCTGCGTCCCTCTCTCGTTCACTCTCTAGGTTCTTGGTGCGGTGGCGAACATCCTTGATAGGTGCGTCGGAGCCCGGGCGAAACGAGGAGTCGGAGGGGCCACATCCAAGGTGAGGCTTGTTGCAGTGGCTCTTGATGAATCCGACTAACTGCGCACGGAAGAAGATCGTGTGAAGAAGTAAATTGGCTCACCACCAGCCAGTCAGGATCCGTTTATCTCTGAAAGTTGTATTTCTTGCACATTTAACTCTCAAAAAAAGGCTCAGTAAAAACCTGGAGGTATTGCAGAGGCGACCTGTACCCTTTGGCAGGAAGTCTTTCCACCAAATCTCTGTGTCGAGAACGATTCCCTCTTTTCGCAAACAAGCTTTTCTTGTGGACACACAAAAAAGCTTGACGCGTGTTTGGTGTTTGACCTTGGGTGGAACTTTCACCCTCCGTTTTAAAAGCAGCTCAGGGGGTAGACAACCTGGACGATTGACGACAACAGGTGAGTGTCTGGAACTTGAGTAAGCAGTTGTTCTTTTTTTGGAATTTACTTCCTTCCTTCCTTAGGAAGCGCTTGGAAAGTTGAGTGACTGGAATGCTGCTTGTCATTTCCAGGGTGGAACGCGTATTTAAGAGTAGACGCACCCAAGCACGAGGAAAAATAATTGTTCTAATTGTCGTGAACTATTGCACCAGAGCCATCTTATTGGGGTGGTGATGGAACGCATGTTTCGGTGTCATTATTTTGTCACGCACAGGCAGTCGAAGTGCGAGCTCCCAACGGCAAGTCCGGGCCTGTAAGCAAGTCCGGCCCGAAGAAGCTGGAGGACCTGGAGGTCGAGGGCAAACTGGCGATGGACCGGCTCGAGGACATCGCGAATTATATGAGCGATTACCGGGACATCGTGGACGAGTACGCGGTAAGTTGAGTTTCAAAAAAAAAAAAGCAAAGTTTTCGTTGTTCTTGGCAAGAAAAAAGTCTTCGGCCGCCGATGTTTGTCGGGTGGAGCCCGATTTCCTGGTATAGCGAGTGAATGCGGTATGGAATATGAACGGACTCTCACCTACACATTTTTGCTGGGCATGCGCTGCCGCTCTAGCCGTTACACGTGTGCAAGGTTTCCACTTTCTACACCAACAGGGCGACCGGACTTGTCGTTCATTTGTACTCCCTATCATGGCTTCGACCTGATTCTGAGTCGTTCCACGATTTGCAGTGATGTGTAAGCTAACGCAACACGTGTCTGTGGTTGTCCCATTGGCCAGCGATGTTGTCGCCGAAACCCGGTTGGCCAAAACGCTTTTCGACGGACCATTTTTTCTGATAACGCGGTTTCCACGCGCTTCTTCGTGACTTGCAGGATTTACACAGAGTGCACAAGAGACTGGAGGGGGGCACCCCCCAAACCACGGGGGGGGGCGCGCCCTTGGCAGCAATAACAGCAACGGTGGAAGCCAAGGCAGCGGTAGCAGCACCCCCGGTGGACGCGAAAATTTAATTTGAGCTGGCCTCTAGATGTCAATGTTCTCGTGCGACGCAAGAAGATTCATCAATGAGCTAATGAGCGGTTGTACGCCGAACTGTGGTCTCCGAGAGGAAGTATTACGCCCAAAAGCAAAACAAAATGAACACCTTATCGGCTTGTGTCTGATGCACCCAGCCGAGGCCACCAAGTCATACTCGAGAAAATGGCAAACGCACTTTTTTTTCCACCTTCCGTTCTCTTGCGATGCTCGCCCTCAAAGGAAATCGAGGACTCATTCCGCGACCCCCTATCTCTTCATTGTATCATCTCATGACTATTGCTTTACACCTCTACATCTGCGAGGTTCGTCGCTTCAGGAAGATTCGAACTCATGTCCTCGCGTCAGAACATCTACGAGAGGTTCCCAACTGAACAACCGCCGGGGCGAGCGACCGGCTACGGTACCTGTGGAGTCGTAGGGCATTGTGAAAACGTAGAGTGAATCATCCTTGACAGCCGTTGGGGATTTTATATGACCTTTATGAGGGGATGCCGTCCGTATTATCCTCCTCCCCCTGTATCTGCGGCGAGTCGATTCACTTCTTCTTCGCAATTTTCTGTGCGTGAGTATACCGGTTCACCACGTCTGCCACGTGTTCAGAAGCTCCACAAGTTCGAACATCTGTTGTTGATGCCCCACCATCCAATCCATATTGTAACTGTTCTTGGAAGCATGAAAGCGGAATCAATCGTCCTCGACAGACATTGGGGCGACAGATAATTCATTAATAACGGGTCGTTCACAAAAATTGAAGTACTACGGATTTGGGAATACCCAATAATGAAATGGATCTCGTGAGCCACTTCATTTAGGATTTCAATCCGACACACACATAGTACAAGATTTTTGTCTCAAGGATTTCCCTCTTGAAAGCTACTTTAAATTGTCACAGCGGTGATAACGCTACCGACACAGGTGAATTACTCATGTTTCTCATGCTTTAGCGTAACAGCCACCGGCTGGATTTCGTCGATAATAATGGGGTTAGCTCATGTGGGGGGATCTACGTAATATCTTACTTAAAACTAGAGCAACAGCACGCAACTCTAGCTTAACCTAGCTGGACAACGGTACAACTAGCTTATCCTATTGTCTCTCAAATAGCTTGCTCTCTTAGCACTTGAGGGTCAATTTCTTCCTTGATAAGGGCAGCGACAAAAGTCACTTGGGGGTAGCGGACCCAAGAGGGGGATCCGCAACTGATTCGGGTATATTTTGAGACATACCCTAGTCCTCCCCTCCCCCGGTGTTTGCCATCGGGGTTGGGTTTTCGTCGCTTGGCAACGACGTTCTCAAACAAGCCGCCCCCCCCGGTGTTTGCCATCGGGATTGGGTTTTCGTCGCTTGGCAACGACGTTGTAAAACAAGCCANTTTCGTCGCTTGGCAACGACGTTGTAAAACAAGCCAATTCACTTCGTGAACTCGGCAACCAGGTTGCCGGGGTTTTTTTACTTTTTTTTTTTTGCGGTAACCATAATAAATAAATGGTGGTCGAGTAGATTATGTTGTGCGGGGTCGAGAACCCTCGCTCCGCGCAAGGGGGATGATCGCACCACGTTGTGTTAAAATGGTCAAGCACCCTCGAGGCAGTTACACAGTGCTTGCAACTGTCTCAGGAAGTGAAAGCACCAGAAAATAAAGTAATTCATACGCAGCTGTCATCCGTACGCAAGGAAGTAAGCACAAGATGCCGAACACCCTTAGCAGGATGCAGCGCACCCTTCATGCGACTCGCCGAATATCTCACGGCGCTTCGCGCTTGGTGATGTGAGAGCCTGGTCCGGTGAGAACCCGGCGTGCTCCGTCCCGGCTTTGTAGGGATGCGAGGTCAATGGTCTATCGACTACGGCATGCACGACTATGAGTACACCCCCCCCCACCCCCACCCCCCTAGCCCTCCCCAGCCCGCTTCGCAGCGTGCTGGCTGGATCACTCTGCTGCCGTGACAACAGATACATACCTGTTCTCCGTGTTCGTAGTAAAGGTTTATGTTTTCGTTGCGTAAGTGGGCCATTTCTAGGACCTTGTGAGGGCACCATTTTGGCAAGTGCCGTATACAAGTCGGACTCGTTGTAGCTACACACATGCATACCAAGATACGGCAGCTGACATGCTGTTGGCCGCCACCTCCGTCGTGAATTTCTTCGCCGTTGTCCCGGTGTTGAGTGAGCACGGAGCCCACGAAAAAGGATGTCTCTTTCTGCTCTTTCTCCCTCTCGTCCTACAACTCCATTCGACTTTCAGGCCGCAACGACCTGCGTTCTGCCGTCTCCTTGCCCAGAAACTGCTATGCTGTGTCACCAACAGCCACACAGACGTGAGTCCTGACTTCGTGCGGTTGCCGCTCACAGGACTGTGAGTTTCCGTGGGACCCTCCAATAGGATTCCGACGTGGAGTGCACTACAGTACCCCATCTCTGTGGACGGAGCCCCCCGGTTGCGCCGCGCTCTCGCTCGCTGGGAGCTGCAAGGACCCGCTGCTGCTTAGTGCTAAGCCAACGTCTTGTTTCGTTGGTGGTACTCAGTGCGAAGCACCACGAGATGCTGGCACGTGGATTTTCGCTGGCCCTTCCGTTGTTGCTGGTGTTTTCGCCGCTGGTGCTGTCGCACGTAGGCGCCCCGTGTTTCGTACCAGCATCCTCAGCGGGTTTATCAACTGCAACAACAAGGTCCATGCGGCTAGCACCGCACACCACATCTACTCCAGCATGTCAACGCCTTCTGCTGCTTCTGGTGTCCCACCCGAGGCGTAGGAATCTTTTGCCACACATTCCCAGCACATCAACTTTACGGGCATCACTGCTTGGCGGTACCATTGTCAGCACATGCGGTGCAACCCCGCCAACGGCACCGGCAGCATCTCCCCTCCTGCCCCGCGTCAGCAGCAGCAGCAGCAGCAGCAGCAGCAGCAGCAGCAGAAGACTACAGCACATCGCAGCATCCCCAACAGGCACTTCACCAACGAATCCCATCGCCGGAGGGCCCACTGGCGAACCGTCAACGCGTCCAGCCTTGCGGCGAGCAGTGGGTTCGAACATGAAAACACCTCCTCGGACCAACAAGGAAGACGGTGACCTGATCGGTACCGCACGTTCCCCCTTGCCTTCCCCGTCTTCCTCCTCATCGGAGGACACCATCTTCGCTTTGGCTACGGGAAATGCGGGACCCGCGGGAGTCGCAGTCGTCCGCATTTCCGGCCCACTGTCGGCGCAGGTTCTACAAGCTCTGACGTCTGCTACGACTCTATCTTCGGCAACCGCGGCGGAAGCGTCCGCGGGACGCGACGCCGGTGTGGCGGCGGCGGCGGCGGCGCCAGCAGTGGTCAACGGGGGGGGAGCGGGGCGAAGGTTGCCACCGTTCCCTGCGGCGCGACGAGCAGTGGTGCGGCGGTTGTACGACCCGGCGACTGGGGACTTGCTCGACGAGGCTCTCGTGTTGTGGATGCCAGGACCGCGCAGGTACGCTTGGCCAAAGGTGCAACCAGCCGTTTTGTTATCTACGGTGCACATCCCGCGTCAGGTGGATTGCTAGGGATGTAGGACGGTGCTGAGCAGAGATCGAAACGGGTCGGTTGCTGTGAAACCATCAGCAATAACCCCTGCAACAACAACATTGCAAAATCCCTATGATCGCCTCTTGTCACCATTGCGTTGATTACGCCTGCTGTACCGTGCCGGCCTGTATCAACAACATGCCGGTCAATGTAGCTGGTTCCTGCCGTCTTTCACGTCAGAAACTCTTGCCTCACGTGAAAAACGCCCCGGAATAAACCACGGGGAAGTGTTAGTTACGCCGTTCGAAAGGATGGTCGGATTGCCTGATGCACCCTTCCCCTTGCTCCTGTAATGAAAATGAATGAAAGCTTGATACCCAGACACGAGGCACGGTACATGCGAAGATTTCTCCTGAGCACCAAGGCAAAGGGGGACTGCTTGTGCAGACCATTCATAAACGTGTGGGCCCAAACCCCGCTTACCCATGCCATAGCAAATGACACTTCAATATCACTTGGAAGACGAAATGTTTTCCCTGCAGATATTTCTCCCAGGGGCGCTCTTCTTGGATGGGTGTATGTTTCTTTCGACCACTCCTCCATCCGAACAGACCCTACCAATCCCCCACCTCCATTCGACCAAGTTCGTTGGACAAGCAAAAGCAATCGGGGTAAACAAAGAATCTCAGCACGTCTTCCACCCCTTCCCCCCCCCGGTGTTTACCATCGGGGTTGGGTTTTCGTCGCTTGGCAACGACGTTGTAAAACAAGCCGCCCCTCCCGGTGTTTGCCATCGGGGTTGGGTTTTCGTCGTTTGGCAACGACGTTGTAAAACAAGCTGCCCCCCCCGGTGTTTGCCATCGGGATTGGGTTTTCGTCGCTTGGCAACGACGTTGTAAAACAAGCCAAGTCACTTCGTGAACTCGGCAACCAGGTTACCGTTTTTTTTTTTTTACCTCCGTTTTTTTTTTTGGCGATAACCATAATGGTGGTCGAGTAGATCATGTTGTGCGGGGTGGAGAACCCTCACTCCGCGCAAGGGGGATGATCGCACCACGTTGTGTTGAAATGGTCAAGCACCCTCGAGGCAGTTACACAGTGCT